CATACCCAACCCCCCACCTCAGCACTCTTGGCTGTAGAGTTAGCTGACGTGACCAAAGCCAGAGTAGGGTTGCCAAGCAGGTCTGGAGTTCTTCTGGAATTACAAATGATCTCCTGGAGAAAATGGAAACTTTAGAGGGTGGATGGTATGGCAGCACATCCTTGCTGACCTCTCCAGGCTCTGCCTCCAAGTCTCCAGGAATTTCCCAATTGGGGAGTTGGCAACTGTGAAAGCCTTCCTCTGACTTCAAAGGAAGATACTCTCTGCCTTTTGGGGGGGAGGGGGAGGAGTGTCATACACAAAATGAGCCAGGCCATAGAGTAAATGAGCTAAATGTTGATTTAGTCCCCAGCCCCAAATCTAGCTGGACCCACCAGGACCTTTCCCCCAAAGGGGAGGGAAGAAGACAAAGAGAATCAGCAAATAACTCCTGTAATAAAGATGTACTGCTTTATTGAAAATCCACACAATTCAAATTTGTCCGTCCCGAGGGTGCCATGGGACTCTGTTCTGCTGCAGACCAACATGGCTACTCTCTGAAGCGATCTTCCGGTCTGGTCACTGAATGTTGCGCACGGTGTCGGAGCCTGCATTCACAGTTCAAAGATCTGCCTCCAAAAAGAACCCCCATTGCCTTTTCTAGCTGGCCCAGGTGCTCTTCCCCTTTAGACCCCTTGTGAGTGTTCCATATAACAACAGCTGAGGTAGGCTCATTTTACAGTGCCCCCACCCCCCAGCACCCCTTCACTGGCGACTGATGAAAAACAGCCAGGCCAGGTCATTCAAGGGCATATCCCCAGGAGCAGTTTTAGGTAGTATAAAGGCACGAGTGGTGTTTCAAAATTGCTCATTGGTCTTCTCTTTCCCCTGGATATTACTTGTTACCATTATTTAGGAAGACTGAGCTGCAGGGCCTTGGCACAGCACACAGCAGTCCCCTTAAGGGCTCATTCAAGTAAGACAATGTTTATATACCATCCCCTATCAGTTCATGGTGCCGTAGCACAGGTGAGCATTTGGGTCAGTTCTGCAGTGGTTCTAGCTGTTCTTCTGTGGAAGTTGACTCTTTAATTGTAGTAGCCGTTTTTAAGATCTGTGCCGGAGACCACCTGGAAACTTGTTCCTTTTGTTTTGGGGACAACAGCCAATGTGGTGGATGAGTCCTAGTCCTCATCTACCACACTGGCTGTTGTTGCTCCCCCCCCCCCCTTCAGCTTTTGGGGACAGGACAGGACTGAACTGGCCTGATATATCTGTCGTGATTCACTTGTATTGGTAAGGCTGGCCTAGATGGGTTTGATCTAGTGTCAGAGTGAGTGACAGCATGTGACTGCAAGGAGGCTGGCAATAACCGGTTTACGGCAGTCCAGCCTGGCACTGAGCATTGCACCTGGATTGCATCAGCTGTGTGCTGATTGGCCAGAGGCTGTATATATGTACAGAATGTACAGTGGACTTTTTCTCTCACTTGGATTGATTGCAGCGGAGCACTTTGACACTAAGAACTGTATACAGGTGGAGGCTGGGTGTAAATAAATTCACTCTGTGTTTGCACCTAAGTTCTAGAATCTAGTCTTCTTTGGGTACTCTAACTCCCTTTGGGCACTGACGTGCCAGCCAGCATTCCGTGCACCTCAACAACATCATGGTCACTATGTTATTACAGAGTGCCAAGTATTTTTTGTAAAGACAAATCTTCAATCTCACTTACATACAAGCTGCTAGTGAACATCTCCCCCCCCCCCACCACCACAATACAACAGAACTAGGTAGGTTTATGGTCATTTTATTTTTTATTTAAAAAACAAAACTAGGGAAACAGGTTAGGTCACAGTGTGTGTAGAAAAGTCACTGCATCGTGCAGCTCCGAAACAGCCACACCGGGAAGGGGTTGGGGGGGTTGGAATGCATCTCACAGTCTGGAAAAGAACCTCAAGGGTGTTCCCCTGTTGCAGGAAGTACCACCTCACGTACCCCATGAGTGGCATCTACATGGGAGGGGGGATAACTCAGAGTATCGATACCTAAACCAGAAAGAACAGAAGCTTCGGGAAGAAAGGGCAGAAAGAAACCCCTCCAGCGTTGGGCCAGGAACCAGCTCAGCCCCAAAGGGCAAGCAGAAAAAAGGCAAAGGAAGTCAGACATGTCTGAGGAGCCTCCTACAAGCAGGGCAGTGGAAGATCAGAGGCTGAGAGTAGAGCACTCCCTTGTTAAGCCTGTACTACCTCCAGCCGTTCTGTGCTGGCAACAAGCCCTTCCCACAAAGGCAGCTCACTTTGGTCTTTGGTGGAGTCAAATGGGCACAAGCCCAAGAGAACGGCACCAACCAGTGGGCGAGGTGAGAACGGAGCCACCCCCCCCGTGCCCCTTGTAGAGGAGTGCAGGCACCCATCAGTACCGGCCAAGCACCGTAGCCAGCAATGCCATGCGGATATACATGCCGTTCTCTGCCTGCCGGAAGTAGGCTGCCCGGGGGTCTGAATCCACCTCCACACTGGAAAGAGAGGTCAGGATAAAAGGTCAACAGGCAGATAAGCATCACCCACTGCCACCCCGCCTCCAAATCTCAGAGCACAAACAAACATTTTTTTTGTATTTGTGTGGGTTTTTTTTTTGGTATTTGCGTGTTTTTTGGTATTTGTGCGTGTATGCGTCTGTGTGCCTGAAAGTCATGGTTGACTTCTGGTGACCCCTAGTGGGGCTTGGACGTTTCAGAGAGGTGGCTTGCTATGGCCTGCCTCTATGTCCTGGCCCTGGTATGGCCCTGGTATTCCTTGGAGGTCTCCCATCCATATACTTGCCAGGGCTGGTCCTGCTTAGCTTCCGTGATCTGACAAGATCTGGCTTGTCTGGGCTATCCCACCAATGAACGTTTCAACAGTTTGCAGGGGTCTCAGTGCAAGAGAAAAAGGGTGACTTGGCTGAGGCCACTCAACAAACAAAGCTGAACAATTAATGAGCAAGATCTCTTGGGTCCAGTTCTAACATGGGGTGTTGGGGGAACTGCTTAAGTTGGGTGTGTGTGTGCCAGAAAGCTTTCTTCTGCACTCTGGCTCCAAAGCAGGAGGGACAAGACATTTAAGCATTTATATCCTGCTTTCCTCCCCCTGTGGGAACCCAAAGGAGCTTCCCAACATCATTCTCCCCTCCTCCATTTTATCCTACCAAGACCCTGTGAGGTAGGTTAGGCTGTGGTCACCCAGTGAGCTTCCATGACAAACTAGGGATTAGAACCTGGGTCTCCCAGATCCCTAGCTGTACACTTTAACAACAATGCCATGTTGCTCAAATAACCACCAATGAGAGATAGCTTTGAGGTTCAGGGTGGGCTTTAGGTGCACAACGTGGAAATGAACTGAGAGACAGAAACACCAGAGTGGTCTGTGTATGCTACTTGGTTTCCAGCCTGAGTTGGGAAACCCACTGATCTGTACTTGCTCCCAGTAGCCCCTCCTAGAGGCAAAATTTGGCAGAAGGGGCCAGCCACAACTGGCAGTACACACTGTAAATTTGCTAGTACAAGGGCACTCCTGGTGCTACCCCTGTAAACTCAACTTCTGACCCCCAGCAGCTCTCAGGAATCAGAAGCAAATTGAGAATGCTCCTTCAGAGAAGACGCAACGCATGTTTACCATCCTACCTGCATCCCACTAGACTAAATTGTGCGTATGAGGATGCTAACTGCCCCCACTTCCCAATGGGATCCTGCTGAGAGGGGAACCTATGCCAAGATATGCCCCCACATTCATTAAGCTGGGGGATACAGATTCATATGAACTTAGGCTATGGCCAGCCCCACCTGATCTCGTTGACGCGGGGCATTGGGTGCATCACCACCATCTTCTTCTTGGCTCTGGTCATGATGTGTGGGGTCAGGATGAACTGCCCGAAACACTGTGGATGGAAAGAGAGAACTTAAGTGAACGCAGGTATCATCCCATCCCAGTAAGTACATACCGAGAGGAATCAGGATGTGGCCCATATGTGCGAAGTGCATCTGGCCAGGCTTGTGATGTTCCAGGGTATTCACATCCAAGAACACGGTGCACACTGCAGGAGCTTCTGCATGCTCCCAAAGGCTTCATCTATAATTACTTTGGAAAACACTAATTTCTGAGGGGCCGATCATTTCAGGATGCAGCCTCTCCCGGATGCCGCCAGTTCTCCATTTTGACAGGCAGCATT